ACTGCACTGGTGTGGCCCCACCTCGAGCACTGTGCAGTTTTGGGCACCTCAATATAAGAAGGACATCAAACTCTTAGAGTGTGTCTAGAGAAGGGTGACCAAGAGGATGAAAGGTCTCCAGGGCAAGACTTACAAGGAGTGGCAGAGGTCACTTGGTCTGTTCAGCTTGGAGAAGAGAAGGCTGAGGGGTGACCCCATCGCAACCTACACCTTCCCCAAGGGGGGCAGTGGAGAGGGAGGTGCTGATCTCCTCTCTCAGGTGACCAGCGATAGGACACAAGGAAATGGAATGAAGCTGTGTCAGGGGAAGTTCAGATTGGACATTAGGAAAAGGTTCTTCACTGAGAGGGTGGTTGGTCACTGGAACAGGGAAGTGGTCACAGCCCCAAGCCTTTCAGAGTTCATGGAGCATCTGGATGATGATCTTAGCCGTATGGTTTAGTTTTAGGAAGTCCTGCGAGGAGCAGGGAGTTGGACTCAATGATCCTTATGGGTCCCTTCCAATTGAGATATTCTGCAATTCTATGATGATACCAGTGTTCTGTATTTTTTAGCCCTCTGTTACTGGATCACCTAGACACAGTCATATTTGTGTTAAATTAATAGAAAATACTGACTGCTGAAGGTAGATTGACTATTTCTGATGCAGCATGAAATTAGAGCAGCATGTGCAAGTGAGAGTTTTTCTGGTGCAAAAACTTTGATACTACATCTACTTTTCCTCTTCTTTATTTTCTTTCTTTTTTTAAAAAAAAAATTGAATTAAATAATTAGTTATTTCTAACCAGATTTGAACTTGGACTTACTTTCTCTTCAACATTTCTATTCTGTCACTGAGGCTAGTATACCACACTTTTTAAGTTTGTGGAAGTCTGGCTGATTCTGTGTTAGTAGTCTGCCAGTATCTTCACATCCATATGGTAATTCCAGTGAATCAGTTATTTAAGACTACTGTGTGTATATATATGTACATCACCTTGCTTGAAGTAAATTATGCTAGCTGTTTGTAAATATTGACAGTCTGTAGTTTGTGTACTCTAGAGGGTGCTACTGCTCTGAAGGATGAACAGACTTTTGCCTTGTTGTAGTAAACTGGCACTACAATTATTTTTGAGCATACAGTCTTCTTATTGATAGGTTCGGTAGTTAGTTCCCAGTTCGCTGTTCAAACGTGCCCAGAAATCAGTGTTCAAACAGAACTGAATCCTGTGCACGTTACGTTATTTGTACAGAAATCAAACTACAAATGCTGCACGACAAGTGCAAATTGCAATGTTTAGGGCTATGCAGTGCTGTGAAGATGGGAGACTTACGAGCAGTGGGTTGCAGGACTGCATCTCACGTGTTTGCTGGATGCATGCTTTTGACTTTAATAAGGACTGTTGCTGACAAGCTCATCGTTGTGGTGTTAAAGAGCGCGAACTGAAGTGGTACAAACCTGCTGTGTGTTAGCAAATTATTTTCCTGTTGATTTTACCGCCAATCAAAAGTAGCACCATTTTTAATGCTTTGTTCATTGGTTTCATGGCATAGTAAGATGCTGTGGAAATGTATGTAAATGCTATGTAGTTTGAGAGAAATATTTCAGGTCTTTTTTGTGTATTTGAAACACTTTTAGTGATTGCTACTTCATTCCTTTTCCTTGCCAAAGTTCAGTAGGTAGTATGAGTTCATTTTAGGCTGCATCTATGGCAACTGTATATTCTATGTTGTTTAATTTTAAATGTGCAAGCTTTTTATCCAGAAAATGAATTGTGAAGCAAGAAATGCATAAATATTTCACATATTTTGAAAAGAATCTGGCTATAACAGGTCATGCTAGTAACTCCAATAGGCAGCATTCATATTGGTAGCTGTCTATTTTCTCTGCATTTACGCTTTGGAAAGCGACTATTTACACGGTGAGTTTCAGATGAATAATGGTACCTCTTTCAGAAATCATCAGCAATGGGCAGCCAGATGTTACTTGAATTGGGACATACTCGTTTTGTTAACTTTACTCACGCTGACAGCTCAACTTACACTCTTCTCAACTGCCTTGCCTAGAGCCCGTGTCCTTGAACGCATTACTTCCTTTCTACGGAGGGGCTCTGAGAGCTGATACACAGGTATTCCATGCTCAGTACTGAGAGTGATATGATGTAACAGGAATTTCAAACTACAATTCAGTGGAATTCTGTAAATCAATAACCAGACAATTTTGTTCCCAATCTCCCCTCCATAAAAAAAATATTAATTTAAACATGTAATAAATGTTGTTATGATAGGATTGCATGTTTCTCATACTGCAAATGGGAAATAATTCAAGCAGGGCGTGACTGTATTTCCTAAGTATAGTAAATAAAATGAAAACTAGGCTCTATTTCACAGCAAACTCATGCTGATAATTTCTTAGAGTTCATTCTGAAATGACTGAGTCATGACTTCTTGCTGTTAAGTTATTTTATTAGAGATATCAAGAGAAATTCTTGCAGTTTGTGGATCAACATTTGGAGAATATTATTGAATATTATACCTTTTTATAAAAAAGTTGTTTATTAACGTTACTTTGAAATTAAGTCTCTTTAAATGATTAAATGTCATGTTTGTTTTCAAGCCCCGGATTGCTTAACTTCGGTACTTACTGTTTATTTTCAAAACTGAAGTCATTTGTTGAAATGTGAATCATGCTAGCGTTTAGTTGTGTAAAGGTTGCCTCATCTAAATGATGTTTAACTAGAAAGACTGAATTTTAAGGACTAGCATCTCAATAATTAATAATTAACTGATGTTTTGAGTGCATTCCAATATGTGCAATGGACTTTGCACTAAAGAATAGAAGAGCTTCTCTTTGGCTCTTTGTGGTTTCCTAGTTCCATTTCCTCTCTTGAAGTAATCAGTTGCTGGTATTTGTTAGGCTAAGCATTGTGGGAGGTTTAATTTCTATATATGGTCAAGTTACTGTTCAGCTTTGGAGAAACTGACTGTTACTCTAAGCTTATTTTTCAGTGTTCAAGAGGCAGCTTCACTGTAACATTTATTGTATTATGTAGCTAACATAATTCCATTTAAATTAAATTTGTGTTATGTCATGTCCAATAATGCATTTACCTTACCTGTTGCTGCTTCAGAAATAAAATCCTGGAGCTCATCCTGATTGAACGATAACGTTACTGTTAAATTCATGGAGATCAGAATTGGAGTTTTAAGTATTTTTGAAGTGGTAAATCTTAGTTTTTCAAAGAGACATTTAAGTTGTCTGTTGTTATGAATTGGTTGCTTTTCTCCTGAGGTAGATGTGGTGTTTATCTTTGAACATGAGATGTTTCTCTCTGGTCTGGCTTTTGTGGACTTCTCACAGGGTAATACAGATGTCCTTGGTTTTCCTGCACCTATTAGATTAACAGGGTCCAGCTGATGCTTCAACATAAGCAGCATTATAAAACTTAAGCCATGTCCAGACATCTTCAAAGTTTCCAAGAGGTAATTTTCATATTCCACATATGGAATTTCAAAACAAAATCAGAAATAAAAAGAAGTGATTAATAATACTTCTGTAAGTTAGGCTTGTGATACAGTATATTTAACTTCTACTTTTGTTATTGGCAAAATATTTGATAACATCATGCTGAGTATGCACCTCCTGTAATAAACCAATTGATTTCAAACTTCATATTTCGTGTGTACTTATCACAAGAAAACAGTATAAATCAGTAGTGCAAATGCTCTCTTCATTGTTATCTTCTTACCAATTGCATATTCATACGGAATTAATTGTTGGACAATATTTTAGGATGCCGTTTCAGTATGACACTTCCTTTGCTTTCTACCATCCATAATACCTAAGATATCCTGAAGAAATACGTTGCCAAAGGCAGTGTTTTCAGTTGATTATTACAAAGTTTGGTTCTTCCACTACTGAAACCAGTGGTGAAACCTCTTCTGGACCTCAGTGGGAAAAGGATTTTCCAAAAGCAACGGTGAACTGTTTTAGTATGTAATATACATTACTTTCATTGACGAGATAGGTTTAGTTTAATATAATAGCACTTTGTCAGATGTTGAAAATGGACAAAGTTACATTCTTTTTATTAATACTTGAGAAGACATTCTGTAGTGTTCTGGTTCTGGATTGTGCAACAAATTTTTGCTTATATATAATAAAAGTGGGAAAAGTATTCTAAGCTTTGACTTGAGCAAAGAAGGTGCAGAAAGGCTGATACCATATCCCTTTTCCAACTTCAGAGTGTTAGAGTATTTCCCTCTTATTAACAGATTTTTTTTTTTTTTAATTCCCATTTGTTCCAAAGCAGATACGTGCTGCCTAAGGCATACAATTGACTGATTCCTACAAGAAAGTCTGCTTGTTAGGCCTGGGAGACTGGATCATTGAATTCAGTTCTGTCTTATTGCAGCAATCCTGGTGCATAGTAATTACTGATAAACTCTCCTTCAGATTAAATACCTTGGCTCAACTTACAGTCTAGAAAAAGCAAAACTGATTATTAAATTAGGCACTTGCAAATTTGGTGACAGCAGTCTCCATGACTTCTGATGCTTTCTTCAAAAACAATATAAAGTTTCTAACCATAGTGTTTCCAATAAACCAGTTTTTCTAAATAAACTAAGTGGATAAAGATTAACATGCATGGTTGTTAGGAAGTTGTTCACAAAGAAATGAATTTCCACTGGCGTTGTTGACTTTAATGAGAGCAAGATTGCATCTTTTTTGTGATACTGATTTTATATTAATAAGTAATTGTGAAATATGTATTTCAGTATACTTATACAGTTTAATGTTGAAAATCACATTATGCTTTTTATCACAAAATACTGTGTGATGGGATGTTAAGGATACAAGGATGTCAAAGGAAAGAGAATTGTGTATGTGTAGTAGGTAGATTCAATTAGTGTATCTATATGTATTTTCAAGACACTGAAGGCCATACAGGAAGCTTTTATGTAACTACTGATTACAGATACATATATCCTTGATTTTCTCTCTCCTTTTTTTCCTGCAGGGCCAAGGCTTTTCGTGGAAAAAAGGTCCATGGAGAATATGACATAAAGGTTGAACAGGTAACTAAATGACTTCATCTGAATGATATTCTTGTATTTGTGTATTTATACAAATACAGATATATGTATAAATACATACCTCCCTGGAGGTATTTGAAAGATGTGCAGATGTGGCACTTAGGGACATGCTTTAGCGGTGAACTTGGTAGTGTTAGGTTAAAGGTCAGACTTGACGATCTTAAGGGTCTTTTCCAACCTAAATGATTCTATGATTCTAGATGCATATATGTATAGATAGATACATAGTCCTTTGTACTTCAAAAAACCCTCAGCAGTTAAGTAGATGTGCTGATTTTGGCAGGGATAGAGTTAATTTTCTCCACAGTAGTTAGTATGGGGCTATGTTTCAGATTGGTGCTGGAACAGTGTCGATGATTCAGGAATGTTTTAGTTACTGCTGAGCAGTGCTTACACAGCCCCAAGGCCTTTTCTGCTCCTCACACCTCCCCACCAGTGAGGGGGCTGGGGGTACACAAGGAGTTGGGAGGGGACACAGCCCGGGCAGCTCAACCCAACTGACCAAAGGGATATTCCATGTCATATGACATCATGCTCAGCATATAAAGCTGGGTGAAGAAGAAGGAAGGGGAGAACGTTCGGAGTTACGGCATTTTGTCTTGCCACATAAACGTTATGCACGATGGAGCCCTGTTTTCCTGGAGATGGCTGATCACCTGCCTGCAGATGGGACGTAGTGAATGAATTCCTTGTTTTGCTTTCCTTACATGCACAGCTTTTGCTTTACCTATTAAACTGCCTTTATCTCAAGCCACGAGTTTTCTCACTTCTGGTCTTCTGATTCTCTCCCCCATCCTACTGCGGGGGGGAA